AAGATTTAGGTTGGATGTTAGGGGGAAGTTCTTCACAAGGAGAGTAGTTAGGCCCTGGAACGGGCTGCCCAGGGAGGTTGTGGATGCCCCGTCCTTGGACGTGTTCAAGGCCAGGTCGGATGGGGTCCTGGGCAACCTGATCTGAATGTGTGTTTGGTGGCCCTGCTAGGCAGGGGGTTGGAACTACATGATCCTAGAGGTCCCTTCCAACCTGGGTGATTCTGTGATTCTGTGACTGCTGTTCATTGCTCACATGAAGTATGATGGAGTGGGTCTAATCTCAATTTAGGAGCAGATCAGTAGGTGTGCTCTTGTCATTTTCTAGCTGTTGCATAATCACAAATGACTGAACACAGAAGCTCCAGAGGAAGAACAACGTGCTAAAGGCAGAAAGTTCTTCAAAATCTCATCCCTTCCTTGTACCAGCATCATTTCTGACACACCGCAGCCTGTGAGTCTCATCAGTGCCACTTAGCATAGGGAAGCCAAAGGAGCGTGTTCGTTATATCAGGCTCTTCTAAAAGTTTGCTTCATTTCTCCTTCTGTCTCCTCAGCTATCTCTGCAGCTCCGGGCAGATGCTTGAGAATAAGATAGGAGGCTTTGAGTCTGGAGGATTTTCTGGTCAGAAAATCTGGCTGAGTCTTTTTTTTTCACATGAAATAGTGAAGGCAATAATGAAGTCGTTTAGTGTTCACTGGATTTCTTGCTTCTGCATTTTATCAAAGAAACAGACTGTAAAACCATGTGTAGGCTGATGGGTCAGTGGGGATTGGGCAGATAGGGGTGGGAAGATCATGGGCCCATTGATAGGAATGGATCTGTTTGCCCAAGGGCTTGCAGGACTTGACCTCTATTCCTATGGAAAGGAGAGAAGCCATCTCTATCTGATGCACCAGGAATGGTACCTAACTACTAATACAGATATGATTAATAGCAAGGAGTCTGGAGCCAGCTAGGAAAGATTAATAGTTGAAGTCGTTAAGATTATTTCTGCTGATGTTAATTAAAATGACAGGAGTGGAGGGAGAACTTCAGTTGCTTTGTAAGGTCAGGCTCCCTCTGGAAGATCTTGAATAATGAACACAGCTCTTAGTTGTGCATTATGTCTATGAGTGCCTGTTAGGCTCAGTGAGGATGTACGAAGAATTCATTTTAAAAAGAGGACTTTGTGGTTTGACCCTTGTTGACTGAATTCTCTACAGCCATCACACTGTATTATTAACAAATAGAGATCAAGTCCATCTCCTCCTGCCAAGGCATTCAGCAGCATGAAGAACAGTTCATTCATATGCTTTAGTTTTTAGTTAGATATGAAGTCATCAGGCAGTTGGATAAGGTGATATCTTTGGATAATCTTTGTGGTCCTTTCTAACAGAACTATTCCATTCCATTCCACCCCATCCCATCCCATCCCATTCCACCCCACCCCATCCCACCCCATCCCATCCCATCCCATCCCATCCCATCCCACCCCATCCCATCCCATCCCATCCCATCCCATCCCATCCCACCATCCCATCCCATCCCATCCCATCCCATCCCATCCCATCCCATTCCATCCCATCCTTTCCCATTTCACCCCATGCCATTCCATTCCATTCCATCTCATCCCATTCCATCCCAACCCTGAACATCACAGCACACATCCCACATCCCACACCAAATCCCATATCCCATTCCACCACCCCACTTCACACTACAGCTGAAACCTCCTGGCTCCCTTTCAAGTGCTTTCATGCTCTTCATGTTGATATGTAACCTATATCAGAAGATGTACAAGATGAACCCAAGCCCCATTTTTCCCAAATTCTCTTGACTTCCATCACTGGAAACTCAATTAAAATTGGAGAAAGAGATTAGATACACTCCTGTTTATTAAAACCTCTTTGAGGAGCATATGCTACCTTCTGAGAAAAGCAGGAGAAAAAAAAGCAGGGAAAAAATGACGTGGAAAAAAAAAATAGGACAATTTGTCATTGTTTAACTTACAACCACTTATCTCAGTGGGTGAGATGTTGTCTCTGGAGGGCCTCACAGGCAAATTAGTTCAAGCCTTGCTGCTGAAAAACAAACCTTTAAAGCCAATGAAGAGTTGCCTCCTGGCTAGGAACTCCACAGGGTTTCTTGTTGCTGGAAGGCGAGGAGAGCCCTGGAAGAACCCATTGAATGGCAGCTCCCTGTCTTAGCACCAACCACCCCTGCAGATTCCCAATGGGTGCCAGTGGGAACCATGCTTGCTCACCCTTCCCTGCTGCACAAAGTCCAAAGGGAGTGGGAGAGAGAAAAATTGTCCCATTGAAAAGGCTTCAGTGGCTTTTCCTGAGGAGTGACATCAGAAGCTCAGCCTAGGGCACAGTTTGAGATGTCTGAGGAGAACTGGGATTAGATTAAATGACTGAAGATGCCCCTTCCAACTCAAATTGTTCTCCAGTTCTGTCCCACTCTGCTGTCCCTGAAGGTGTTCCACAACAGTGGAGATGTGGGACTGAGGGATGTGGGCAGTGGGCATGGGGGGGTGGGTTGGGATCAGATTTAGTAATCCTAGTGGTCTTTTTCAACCTTAATGATTTTGTGATTCTGTGTGCCACTGAGAGCAGGAAGCCATGACACCCTGAGAACAGGTGGACATGGAGCAGAAGGAAAGAGATGAGGAGGGGCTGATGGAGAAGGCTGAGGCAAGAGGAGGGTTTGGGCATCTAGGAAGAAAGGATCCATCACCCACTTGTTTGCTGGTGTGTCAATGGCACAAGTGGTGAAAACAGGAGAGAGCTAAATAAATATAAAATCATAGAAACATTTGAGTTGGAAGGGACTGTTGAAGATCGTCCAGCTCCCATGCAATGAACAGGGATGCCTACAGCCTGACTGGGAATATCCAGAACATTAGAGGGGGTTTTGCTGAAGTCTGTGCAAGGCCTGGGTGCACCCTACTGCAGGGTCCTTTCTAACAGAACTATTCCATTCCACCCCACTCCATCCCATCCCATCCCACCCCATCCCATCCCATCCCATCCCATCCCATCCCATCCCATCCCATCCTACTGCAGGGGATGTTTCTTTGCCTGAAAAAGTCAATCAAAGAAAAGTAACCACTTCTGAAAACATTACAGCAGATGGGAATCAAAGACTAGACAAGGATTCATGCCATTCAGCTTCATTTCTACTAGCTGTAGACATCAAAACCCTGTTACTGACCAAGACCTACACTCCACAGATCAGCTTTTAGGGTTTTCTGGGGTGAAAGTCTCCTTCTCTCCCATTGAAGCTGTTCATAGAGAACTTTGTGTTCCATTGTGCAAAGAAGCATATGGAAATGATTGGGCTGGAGCTGCAGAGGATGACTACAGGATCCTACAGGACACACACAGAGGGTGACTGCAGCTGAGCAGCTACAACACTCAGCAAGACCTGAATACTTATCCTGTCCTTAAATCGACATCAGAAAAAAAGCTGCAGTAATTTGGGGGCATAGAAACCTTCCAAAGTTGGCAGCAGTCCTACCAAGAGGGGTGTTGAAACGTTGGTGTTGACCTTGGTCTTCTGGAGAACCAGTTGTGTGCTCACAGCCAAGTGCAACCGGGAGCAAGGCAGGGCAGAATGGCAGCATCTCCTACAGCAGCTTCACCTAAGCAGTACAGAATAGCTTACAATGGGGGAATGAGGCAGAGAACCAAAAGCAAGAACATTTCCAGCTCTCCCAGTAGCTCAAACTGGTGATTATCTCCACAGGTTGAGTGATGTGGTCTAGAGCAGCCATAGGCATGGATTGACCGTTGGACGAGGTGACCTCGGTGGTGTTTCCAGTCCTAATGATTGTATGATTGCATGATTCAAAGAGAGGGGAACTTCAAGTTGAGATCGTATATGAATCCCCATCCCCAGCATCTCTTGGCAAACAGCCTCTGCACTAAAGGTTCTGCTGTGGTTTTGCACAAAACTGCTTTGAAATGGCATTGCAGCTGTGCAGCACGAGAGAGGTGTGCTAGGGCCCCAGTCCCTCCAAGGGAGTGGGACTGCTCAGTCTAAGAAGTGCCTCCAGAAAGGTTCCATTTCTCATTAAAAGTCACTAACGAGGAGCCAAGCTGTGTCAGGACCCATGCAGTGCTTCAAGCTACCAGTGGGATTTTCTTGCAAAGCTAGATTGGATATTAAATTGGATATCAGGAAGAATTTCCTCATGGAAAGGGAGGTAATGCATTGGCACAGCTGCCCAGGAGGTGGTGGAGTCACTGTCCCTGGATGTACTTAAGGGATGTGTAGACATGGCACTTGGGAAGATGGTGGGCTTGGTTGTGTTGACAGTTGGACTTGATGATCTTAAGGGTCTTTTCCAACCTAAATTATTCTATTCAACAAAGACCAGGTGTATTCTACCTAGGTTCCCAGTTCAGACATCTCAGCACATCAGTAGATCTCTACCCCAGGGGTTGGTGTCACTCACTGCCACACAACCCAAGACCTTACCCACTAAGCAGCCTTTCATCCCGCGCAGAACCCAAAACACAGCAAGGACAACACAAAAGTTGTCCTCTCCTCCCCTCCTGCTCCAGGTCTTCTTCCACTGCCACCTTCTCAAGGTGCTGCAGCAGAGTGCTGAGCGAATTCCAGGACACACAACCCACACAGATTTGCAGAAGCACAAAGTTTCTGTCCATTGCAATGCTGCTAGCTCTGGAATCTTCTGCTTCTCCAGTGTACACAGAGTGACTGCAGGGAGGTGGGAAATTAGGCTGAAATAAATAAATTAAAACCAGCAGGAGGGGATCGGCATGCTGCTTGAATTAGTGTGGAGAGTAATTGTAAACAACTGGAGAAATGTGCCTTAAATTAATTTTTAGGACCTAATGGGATTTTGCTTGGACTATAGTCAGGAATGAAAAGCCTTCAATGGCAAAACAAGGCACTTTGCATAAATTAGCAGTTATGACATTAGTGAAGCTGACTCTTTTTTGGCTGGCAATGGAGAGCATGTGTGCGTATGTGCACGCCTGCACAGAGGGCTTGGGATTTGTTTTATTTATTATCGAGAGCTCGTTTAAAGGAGTTTAGCAGGAAGGGGTGAATCTTGACGCAGATGCTTAAAAGCCAGGGCTCTTGGGCTCTGTCTGCATGGGGAGAGAAGACAAGTCTTCAGTCTTCTACTGCCATAGGTTGCACTGGGGTGGAATTACTCTTCTTCAGAGAGCCGTGTTGGGCAATGTGACATCCCAGGACAGACAGAAAGGTTTCTCTGGAAGAAAGGATGCAGCAGCTTCAAAGAAACAATAAATATCATCCTTAGAATTAGTCTTCAGCCGAAAAAAAAACGAAAAAAAAGCCCTTTAAAAAGCTCAAAGCTCACCTGAACACGTGCAGAGATTGACCATGAGACCTCTTGCAAGCAGCGGAGCCAAAATGGTTCATGGCTTTTTGGCTCAGGTAGCAGTGAGGGCTTTTGGGTTACACATCCTCTGGGGGTCCATCTCCAGCTCCATGCCCAGTCCTACCAGTGGCTCTGCTGAATGAGGGTCTTTATTTCAGTATTCACACTTCAGCACTGCAAAAGCACGAACTTTTTTTGTACTTTTTTTAGTTGTTGGTTTTGTTTTTCTTTTTAAACTGTGGTCACAAAAGCAAGCAGGCGCTTTGCTCTTCTCTTGTGCTGTCTTCCTTAAGAACCACCTTTCTGGTCTTTGGTTTCTTTCTTCTGCTATGTTCCCTGCTTGGTGAAAGTGAAGGAAATCTACGCCTCCTTCGTCCAAACCCACCATAAACGTCATCGCCCACCACGAGGGGCTGCCTGTGATCCACTGGTCATGAAAATGATTTATTTTTAAGATGGTGTAAAACAAAATCAAATGTTTGGGGTTTGCTTTGCTTTGTCCTCTGACATACAAGCAACATCCTAGAAAGTGGATCTCCACATAACAGATGTCAAAATAACCCTAAAACAGAGACTAGAACTGGGAGCAAGGGATGGCTGTCCACCTTCACACCAAGTGAAGATCAGGGCGAGATCCCCTAAATGATATGGTAGCTCATAGAATGATAGAATGATAGAATGATAGAATGATAGAATGATAGAATGATAGAATGATAGAATCATAGGATCATAGAATCCTAGAATCATAGGATGGCCTGTGTTGCAAAGGACCACGATGCTCATCCAGTTCCAACCCCCTGCTGTGTGCAGGGTCACCAAGCAGCAGCCCAGGCTGCCCAGAGCCACATCCAGCCTGGCCTTGAACGCCTGCAGGGATGGGGCATCCACAGCCTCCTTGGGCAACCTGTGCCAGTGCCTCACCACCCTCTGGGTGAAAAACTTCCTCCTAATATCCAACCTAAACCTCCCTTGTCTTAGTTATTAGTTATTAGTGAAGCTCATTTGTTAATGTCCTTGAAAATGCCTTTAAATAGAGCTACTGGGATTCATTGTGCTCATGAACTGAATACCGCCAAGTTTAACAGGCCCAGACTTCCTTAACTGCAGTTTATGGAGGCTCCCACAACTGCATTTCTCCCAGTCTTGGCTACTCCATCACATAAGAAAGTTGTGATACTTATTTAAAAAATGAGTTTTCACTTTACTGCTTTCACATTACTAAATCTGTACTTAAAGTAAGCTTGCTATGAGGCTAATTTACCTTCCACCCCAGCATTCGCTCTGCTTGGAAATGGGATCCAGATGGACAACGTTTCAGAGTTTAATTCAAACTCATTAAAGGCAGTGGAAGTTTATTTCCACGAATTTGAAAAGGCTCTGGCTTTGGCCCCTTTATCACTTTGCAGCAAGATGCCTGGCTGCAGTCTCCATCTCTACAAAGCCAATAGCAATTATAAAAGCTGCAAGAAGGTTAATATTCCTTCTGGTTTTATTATTTCCAAGGAATGAAAACAGAGTTTTATTCTCAGTGGGGGCAATAAAGCCATCTCCATTTGATCAGCGGAGCGTATGAGTGCTCAAACGCCACCTCCTGCCAAGCCTGTAGGTCCTCCACCAGCCAAACTCCTACTGATATCAGCAAGACATCGCCAGCATCTACACAAAGCGGAGCAGCGTTTCCATGGGACGTCAGTATGAAGTTGTCTTCCAGTATGACCTTCAGAGCATTCATTGGGACGCTGGGAATGCTGGCATTTTCCTTCCCAAGAAACTGACATGTGATGAGCCCGGCTTCCCTGGAAGTGGCTGAGCATCTTCCTGCAGCTGGGCAGTACTCCACGCATTCCTTGCTTCGCTCTGCTTGCGCGTGTGGCTTTTGCTTCACCAATTAAACTGCCTTTATCTCAACCCATGAGTTCCTGTCCTATTCCCTCTCCAGCCCTCTCCCCGTCCCACCTGAGGACAGGGAGCAAGTGGCTGCGTGCTGCTGAGCTGCCTGTGGAGCTGGAGCACAGCATCAGCTCTCCGGAACTCCTCTTGATTTGACGTGATTTATTCCCAGCTCCAATGGAGACCAGCTGAAAAGCTTTTCTGCAACCCAAGTGTTGACAGGCATGGGAAGGCTCCTTTCCTTACATCTCCGTGCAAAACGCTTGGCGCTCCAAAGAGATATGCTTCATGCAGAGAGAGGGACAGGTCCTTAAGAAATTTTGCACATTAGCTGTTCTACAGTTTTCTGAAGGACAAAGTCTCAGTAGCATCAGTGCCTCAAGCAAGCATTTCACAAAATATCAAGCCGTGGTTACTTCTGCCAGGCACTCCCAGGACGTGAGCCACCCTCAGCTTACAAACAATAATACTCTTTCTTCTTTTTCTCCATCATTATTTTAGCAAACAATAGGTCAAAATCCTGCAGCCAGGCAGCTGCAGCTCAAACGCTCCCTCAAGAAATCGTGTCAAACCTTTGCTGCTGGATCTGAGGTGGAGTGATCTCCTCCGACCTCCACTTTGCAGTTTCTGAGATACCCAAGAGGTAAAAATCATGAACAGTAGAAAGCGTCCGTGGCTATTGGTTGGGTAGGTTGCTCCAAAAGTAATGCCTCCTGCTTATTTCCATGGAAGATACAGTAACAGTTGTTGATACAGCCAATTCTCAGCTACCAAGCATTATTCTTTCAGGGTAGCCACCACCACTAGCTATGCATTTTTATCTGTGATGAACAAGAGCCTGCATGCCACACTTGTAAATATCTGCACCAGCAGAGTTGATGCACTGTTTCACAGCTGCTGTGACGGCATCGTTGCCTACACAGTCCATCCTTCATTGACCTCAACAGATGGAGATCACAAGGTACCAAATCTGGATTACCCATGGGTGGGGTAGGATGGTCCAGCCAAGACTGGCAGCGTGCTCCACAGCCTTCAGACTGGTAGAGGGCCTGGCATTATCGCATTACAAGAGAAATGTCGTCTTCTCTTCTGGCCTGGCTGGAAGATTGAGTCACCACCACTAGGTCAGAGTTGATGGTTTGTCTGGCTTCCAGGAAATCCAGAAGGATCACCCCTTTCCTACCCCAAAGGACAGCTCACATCACTTTACCTGCTGAGGGCTCTTTCTTGAGCTTGTTCTTCAATGGGGAATTCACAACGGACTTGTTTTGATCCAGCTTGTAGTGTCACACCACCTCTCACCACCAGCAATGATGCGATCCAGGAAACTGTCACCTTCAGCTTCATTTTGGTTCAGTAGGTCCTGACACACTTACAGTGTTCCTTCTGTTCCTGTGTGAGCATTCACGGGACCCAACCTGGTGCAAACCTTGCAGAAATCCAACATTGCACCATCATTTCCAATGCACTGAAGCTGATATCCAGCTCTGCACACAGCTCCCTGTTCACAATCTGCTGATTTGCACAGACGACCTGGTTGAGAAGCTCTTCATTCATTTCATGGTACGACAGCTGTGCATGGCCATCCAGAACGTGGCTTATCTTTCATAGCAAAATACTGGTGGGAAGGCTCAACTTCTGCTGCCATATCACCAACATCTGCCTCTGACACCATGGGCCAACATCATAAAAATAAGAGGCATTATTTCTGGAGCAGATCTGGTGCATTCACTGTACCCAAATACCTTTAAGATGTTGTTCTATTGAACGCAGCTTCATCTGCTGCAGACACAGGCTGTAGGTTTTCCCGTTGTTGAAATCTGTCTTTTACAGGACATTTTCAGCCCTCTAACAATCACGTAATAAATTCAGCAGGAGTTTCATTAGAGCACTTGGGGTATTTTTCTTTCAAATATCGTAATATGAAAAAAAGATAGAGAATTATAGAGAGCTTGAAGCACTTCCTGGCTCCCTTTTATAACAAGATAGTTGAAAAGGGAGAGCTGCTCAGAAGAGACAAGGTGACAAGCACTGTTTAGGAATTGTCTCACTGGGCCAAGAGAATGGGGTTTGTCTTCTGCAGTAAGTTTTGCATCCTTCTGCTATAGAGGGTGTTTTCTTCACACGTTTCTGGAATTTTATTCTGCACTGTCAGGCTTTGCAGGACACATTGCTAAGCAAGGGTTTATTGAATACCAAAAGCTGTGCATGTGAAGGATTACCTTCTGTTTGCCCACCTCATACTTAGCCTTGAACATAGAATTACAGAATCACAGAATGGCGTGTGTTGCAGGGGACCTCACAGCTCATCCACTTTCCAATATCATCTGCTTGACATTGGTTACAGCAGGTCACTTGGAGGACAGAGCTGGTTTTCTGGCTGAATGAGGACATCTTTATGTTATGAAGTCCTCCAGATATACAAAAAACACAAGGAGCTTTGAGGAACCTCCATTTCATGGATCCTTTCAACTTCAAGAGATGGAAGCTGGACATTATTTCTGGTTCCATGGAAGCATGGAACCAGAAGCATGTGGAAAGGCTACAGGGAAAAGAAAGGGAAAGATCTGATCATTTTCACTTTCTCGTACCCCCATGTCCTGTGGGATGGGAATAGTAGACAAACCAAGGATGGATGGATGGGTGTGTGGATGGATGGATGGATGGATGGATGGATGGATGGATGGATGGATGGTTGGATGGATGGATGGATGGATGGATGGATGGATGGATGGATGGATGGATGGAGGAAAGGAAGGATGGATGATAAGCTTTCTGTTATTTCTTGATCAGGTATCCCATGCTATATGAAATACCCCGTGAGATCCCTCCACACTTCCACCTGCCATCACATAGGACCACAGATCTCCCAGAGTGCTCAAATCCCATCTGCAAGCCACTTCCACAGCATCTCAGATGGCGCTAGGAAGCATGCAACCATTCCTCAAGCATGGCAAACATTTAGGAAACTGAATTTGGTGGGCATGGTGTTGATGGGTTGACAGTTGGACTGGAGGATCTTAGTGGTCCTTTCTAATGTCAATGATTCTGTGATTCTATGAGTTCTGCACTACAGCCTCTGCTCAGTTTTGTAAGATGATAGTGGGGGGAAAAAGAATATTTTGAAGAAAATTGCTCTGGGGACTTGAAAACCTGGTGAGTCACGATGGTACGTCACCCAGAAGAGGGATTTTTTGTCTACCAAAAGCAGCAATGCTCCCAATTCTCCAGCCCAGGGGGCAGCCAGCAGAATCTCTCATCTGGACAGAAGTCTACCCAGAGACATCACAAAGGGATTTTTTCAGCAGCTGTCAAAAACTGGCCTTTTGCTTTGATGTTTCTGCAGCAGATGAATGCCTGAAACCATGGCCTCATCCATGCTCCTTGTACAACCAGCAGAAGGGTGTCACGTTGCTGTCTGCTATGTCACTCATCAATGCTGGGGCACAAAGAGCTCAGAAGTGAAGCCAATTAAAAGAGGCAGGAGCTGGCATTTCTAATGAGGGGGAGAAACATCACGATCAGAAAAAGGGCACTGTGTTGGCTGAGGATGAACTACACCAAGTGACCAGGAGAGTCCCATGGAGATGCACTTCCCATCCTTGCCGATTTTGCAGCATACCAGCACTTTTTGCATTGGTAAATGGCATCAACCAAGGGAAAACTGACCGTGGCACATTATTTAAGAGGAAGGCTGGGAGAGCAGCAGCACCAGCAGATGGTGTTTGCAAAAAACAGAGCCAGAGGTGGAGGTGTGGAGGCATCCCATGAGATGCCATCATCAGGACTCAACCAAGATCTTGGGCCCACATTGTCGTGGTGAGGGAAAGCTCCCAAAGCCTCCCCAGCATCTGGAGCAGCAAGACCAAACCCTACTATCTATCTAGACTCCAAACCCTGTGCAGAAAGATGATCCTTATAAAGGGTTTCTCTAACTTTGCTGTGGAAGTTGATTTTTGCACCAGCTCTTTGCGGCCAGGAAAGCCTTTCCTCCAACCAAACATTGCATCTTGCTCCTTAACCTTGCTACAAATGACTGGGATGCCAAACTGCTGCAAGGGGGCTGCTGGAATGCAACCAACAGATACATACACCTCTCCTGCATCTTCCGTGCACTCACTTTTTGTATTCATTTATAGATGGGTTTGAGGTAGATAAAATCTACCTATAGGCAGACAGTGTGCCCCAGAGCTTGTTAGCTGAATTCACCCGCATGGAAGGTGTACGAGAGAATTTCCCAGCTCATGGCTCTCCCTGTAGCAGGGAGCACTTCCACATCAATTAGGGCATCCCCAGCAGATGCACCCAACCTGCTGTTCCTCCTCCCTGCTGCACTGATGCGCCACCTCCAGCTGCCTGCAGGGCTGCAGAGCAAGCTGTGCTATTAGCCAGCTATGCATCAGGGTGAAAGAGCAGCCAAGCAAAACATGAGCAGAAAGAGCAAGCTTTAAAATGCTTTGTTTTGTTTTGTTTTTCATATCCTTCTGCATTTTGCTGAATTACCATGCACGTATAAGCAAAGTGTTGGCAAAATCCCACTTAAAATCTCAGCAGCTTAAATATAACTCCTGGATCCAGTCCAACTGCATCTCATGGCCAACACTTCTCCCCTAGTCACGTTTCAGCTGATTATAACTGACAGGCCAGGCAATGGGGCTGAGCCACACTCTTTCATAGAATCACAGAATCACAGAATGGCCTGGGTTGAAAAGGAGCACAGTGCTCATCCAGCTCCAACCCCCTGCTGTGTGCAGGGTCACCAACCAGCAGCCCAGGCTGCCCAGAGCCACATCCAGCCTGGCCTTGAATGCCTGCAGGGATGGGGCATCCACAGCCTCCTTGGGCAACCTGTTCCAGTGCCTCACCACCCTCTGGGTGAACAACCAGGACCATGAAGCCCAGCTGACCCCATGCAGATGTGCCCCAATGCACACAACCTCATCCATGAACAGCCTGAGCATCCATCTTATTCCGGGCTTCACCTCTGAGTCCCAATGAGAAGTGCTGAGGCTTTATGGTCTGGCTGTGGATGGGGCCAGAGGACGGCCTTAGTGGATCCTCTGTACAGATACTGTCCTCTCTGAATGCCATCATCATCATTACCACCATCATCTTCTTAGATGGCACATCAGGAGGGCCGTGACTCTCCTGTACCCAGATGATTCACCTCCACCATTTCCTGACCTCCCTCTTCACATCCTCAAATTCCCCAACATTACCAAAATTCATATTTATTTCGTTGTTTGCCAACCCTCCCCATGAACCCAGAACTCAACCATGATGGTTTCCATTCTTCACAGCAATGCCTGCAGATTCCCAGATGTCTTCAATCACAGCAGTGGATGGAAGAGCTTTCCCCAATTTTTCGGGCCCTGTCCTGAGTAGAAATTCAAAAGTTGACCTCAGGAATACCTGTGTCCAAGAGTGCAAATGAGCTCAAGCTCTGCTCTCAAAGCAATCCAGCCCAAACCACGTCAACCCACTGCTCCCATCCATGAGTCCAAGGAGCCATAATTTGATTTATGTAACTCATTCCTAAAATAAATCAGCCTAAAACAAATTCAGGCCTCTTTGGTTCTGAAGGCTCATCTACCCAGAGACACTGGGGAAAATTAATCTGAGTTAATGTACGCAGCATATCAGTTAAACTGCATTAAGACCCTGCGAGGATGTTCTCATTCAGAACTGAAGTGGCTTAATTTGATTTAGCTAAATTCACTTCCCAAGCCACTGCGTGGTTACTAAATCAAGATGCACTTAATTACACAGATGGGGCAGTGATGCTGCTAAAGTGTGTGGGGCATTCAACAGGTCATTCCTTGGGTCCTCCAGGGAAGACATCCTTGTGGTTCATGCCATGCTGTCCCAAGGCTTTGGGCATCCTTCTCTTCACACCCAATGAGCCATTCTGCACTGGCCAAGGTGGGTGATGAACCACCCACTTTCCCTCTCAGGCACAGCCACAAGTGGAGTAGCAGGAAAAAGGGATGCTGTTGGCCAGCCAGACCTCATGTGTACAGCAGAACCTTTCCTGGTTTAGCAACCTTAGTCCCATTCCACCAATACAGCCCCAAACTGGGATCTAGTAGACATACTTCTGCGTGTAAGACATAGAATATGGGAGGGTGGATAACACTATAGAGAGAATCACTTTTTCTTTCCTGTTTCATAGGGTGTATGGGAGCAAGAATTAAGTTTCCCAGTCTACAGCAACCTTCAGAATGATTCTGAGGCAGAGCTTGTGACCTGGAAGGAAAAAAATATGCATGGTACCAGGCTATCCATAGCACAATAAATCTGCCATGAACTGCTTAATTATCTAAGGAAAAATACCCCATTGGGAAGAGTAATATTTGATATATGGTGTGCCCTTACCCCAAGGGGTACTTTGCTCCCCAGTGATGAAGGAAAAAGAAATATTATTTCCAAGAAATAAGGAGACATTAAAAAAAAAGCAATTTGTGCATCAACCGGCATAGGGGTACATTGATGGTTTTCACCTCCTGGTGCTGCTAGGATTCCCCATGAAGCACAGAGCCCTAGATTGTCTGAGGTGGGAAGGTCCATCCTCTGACCAGCAGATACCAACAGCCAGGTGCTCAGGGCTCCTAATTTGCTAGTTCCTATATTCATAACCTGAAAAAGAGGATCCCCATCTCACAGCGGAAGTCAGTGGTCACCCAGGACAAGTATCTGGGGCTGATCTCCATTAGAGTGCAGAGCATCTTCTCACAGGGATTTGTAACCTTGGTCAGGCCAGATGCAGCATAAAAATGTCAGGCTGGATGGGATGTGGGGCAACTTGGTCTGGTGGGAGGTGCTCCTGACCATGGTTGGACTGGAACCAAATGATATTAAAGGGTCCTTCCAACTCAAATTCTACCATTTTATGACTATGGGTCTATGATTCTACTATAATTCATGCTTAACTCCATTGATGTACCATACTGCTTGTGTTGGTTGCTATGTAATCCCTTCTCCCCTTCCACGTTCCCCATGTCCAGAGTGAATCTGTGCACCACCCAGCAGCAGAAGCTCTGCCTCCACCATGGATTGGTTTACTCTGGACACTGGGAAAGACCACAAATGCAATGAGAACAGCCCAGCCCAAAGCTCAGAGGATCACTGCAGCCCCAGGGAGCTCACCATAGGGAAAGTAGGATGTAGTAGCAGCAGGATGGGACAAATCCAGTATTCAGTGTCTGCACCAACTTGGGAAAACTGCAGCTCACAAGGATACAGTTATTTCAGAGCTCAGCTGAGCTGAGCTTGCTCACAGAGAGGTCTGAGCACTCTTCAGTAAGAAGAAATAACATTCCTTGGGTCTGAAATCACAGCTTCTCCAGCACTCCCATAATGTGGCCGAATTGCTCCTGCAAGAAGCAAAAACCAAACTAAGAGTTTGATAGAGATGGGTTCTGGCACTGGCAGATCACAGAGAGCACAACTCAGCTTCAGAACGGCATTTTGATTGGCCCAATATGATTGTTTAATTTTATTCTGTCTTGCGGAGAGCTTTGAGTTTGGTTTGGTTTGGGGAAAAGAATCCAAAATCATGAGATTTCCCACAAAACAGGAAGAAAACCCCGTTTCCTACCGACTTCTATTATTCAGCCATGAAAGCTGACTGCTTCTGAAGGATCCCAGTCTCATTTGAAAATCTGCCCATAAATATTCACAGTTTATTTGCAGAGGCTCCTGCTGAAAGAATAGGGCAGAAATGTGACATCCACAAGCCACAAGCACTTCACAGGCAAATTTTCACAGCAAATCCTGAGTTTTGCACAGCACGGCCAGTGCATGGGACACCAAATGCAATGTTCTGAGTAACACCACCTCTCTGGGAGATGTTCCTACAGCAGTGTACACTGCAGGGCACGTTCAGGTTACGGTATGATCTACCTATGGCAATGTCATGTCCTGGAAGCACTGAATTTTGCACATTTTGGTGCACACTGTTAAGGAAGGTGCAAGGCGTTTGGTCATCTCCATCATCTCCAGACCTTGGCCACAAGGCTGCTTTCTGCAGGCAACACTTCTGGACTTGGGTTGCCCCAGGGGATGGGTCCATAAGCAGGTTAGAAACTCTCACCTGCTGACCAGAGGCACGGTCTCCTCCAAACTACATCTCAAAATCATGCCACGAACCTTCTTGCATGGACCTTCATGGAGCAAGGCAGGAGATAGAAGTCACCAAGTGGAAAACCATGTAGGTTCAAGCTGTGTAGTGGGATCATGTTCTGGGATACAAACCACCAGAAGAGCTCTCTCAACAAGGGCTTTGCTGGTTGCACATGGTGGGACTCCCTGTGCCTCCTAACATCCCCACATGCACTGCCCAAGGAGTGCTGGTGGGAAGATGCACTGAGATGCATGATCCAAGATCATGAGAAGGGGCCAAAAGAGAAACAGGGACAGCTGAAACCCAAAACCAAAGCAGATAGAAGGAGTGGGGCTGGAGTGAGAAGAGACAGACTGCTAAGGGTGTTAGAACTTCCAATCCATTCTGATTCTAGGAAATCCTATGATTCTATTCTAACAAGCCCAAGCCTCTCCAAGCTCAAGGTCCAAGTCTTGTCCTGAGACCTGTGCCTGCTACTAACACTAATAAGATTCCTGCAAAAAAACAAGAGCAAACATATGTGTAACTAACACAAATATATGCATACACAGACCAAGAATAATGCACCAGAAACTACAAATAATCACTGAGGCATCTTCCAGCGTGGCCAACTTTAATGGTCAAAGATCCATCTTGGGGGAAAAAAACAAACAACTCACAAAACACAACTCCCTGCAAGAACAAGTAAAGCTCATGGAGAATTAGGACCCCCCAGGATGGACACCCAGCAAGGGATCTTCGCTTTGGGCTGGCACTGGGGGAGCACCCAACCACTGCAGGCTGCCAACGTTCACACCAGCATTGGGCTGTGAGGAGCAGCCTCCAAAAAACCCCTCTCTCATGATGCCTCCCCCCAGCTCCATCTGTATTCAGGGCTTAGTCCTTTGTTTTTCATGAATATATAGGAAGATATATGGCCTATAGAATATTAAGTCGTAATTGAGATAGCTTGCTAGCAGGGAGTGCCTGGGTGGCTGAATTTCATTACATTAACAGATGTGTTCAACTCCAGCTATGGGATGCTAAGAAAGCTTTTTTTCTTTCTTTCAGCATCCCCAGTTCAGAAAGCCTGTTTCCCTCCAGGCCAGTCACAGGCAGATGCTGAGATGGATGCCACCTGACTCCAAGAGCTACACTGGTCAATTTTCTGCTTTTATAGAAAGAGACCAAACTGTCACTAAAAGTGAAGCAAAACTCCTGGGGCTCACTTCTTAGCTTTCTTCTTCTTTAAGAAATTGGGCTCCTGAACCTCAGCCTGCAGCTGTTTGATGAAATTGCTGCAAGCTGCAGCACTCCCACCCAAAAGGAGGTCAGGGTTGTGTGGTGTTCTCTTGCTGAGACAGCAGATCCCAACCCACTTGGGAAGGACTGACTGAGGACAGAAGTGCTCAAGCCTGAGGAAGGCAGAAGCAATGCAGCATGGCTGCACAGGCCTTCAAAGAGCCACTGTCTCCAGGAGTGGGATGAGGTCCCAGCTCCCACGTGCAGGTTTGGTGTCCATGATTCACATGGTCCAGTTGGGATCCAGCCTCTCCCTCATCCCAGCCCAGGAGTCTGGGCTTGATCCTTGCATCCTTTGAGCTGGGAATAGAAGCAGAAAGTCAAAGTGAAAATACTTTCTTTTGTCTTTTCCTAGAAGAAAAGGTTTTGAATTTTCAATTCCAAATGTCATTTTCACTGAAAGCTGAAAGAGAAAACAACTCTTGGGAGAATGGCTTTGACCTGAAAAGCAGGTTTTAATTGCTTTCATTTCGTTGCAGGGGGGAAATAACTACTTGAAATGAGCTCTTCCTCCTGCAGGGGAAGAGCAAGAAGGGCACTTCTGCCATCATACAGTGCACAGGTTTGCCCAGAGCTTAATGGGAATTTATATCCCTTTAAAGTCAACGAGGCAAAATTCTTCTGCTGTACAGCACTGCAAAGCAGAGGGCTGTCCCCTGTTCCTGTTTCCAGGTCCTTGGATGTGTGTGGCAAAGCATGTGCCACTGGATCCTATGCACACAGTCCAGCAGCTGGAAACAGCTGGGATGCAGTGCAGCTCTGCATGGAGATTTGCTGACATCTACAGGGCATCTCATAGGGAAGAGGCTGTGGCTCCATGGGGGACGTGAGATTCCCATTTCCTCCCCAGTGAACTACTGCACATCACAAATACATGCTGGCCATGGTAACTGATAACCACAAATGCACACAGATGGTGGAGCTACCATTAAACACTCATCTTGTTTATCAGCAGGGAAGGTCACGAGCATAGCAGACAGCTCTGCTTTGAGAATGGAGAGGCCATCCCTCTCATAAGTTGGTGGGTTCTGTTCATTTTCAAGCAGGTCATGCTCCAAGAAGCATCATCACATGCTCTGTCCCACGCCAAGCATGGCCCCACATCACCGTATCCACTCCCATTTTTCACAGAATTACAGCATATCCAAAGCTGGAAGGGATCCTTAAGGACCACCGAGTCCAACCTCTGGCTCCACACAGAACCATTCCAAACCTTAGGTCTGAGAGCATTGTCCAAATTCTCCTTGTAGCTGTTCACCTAAGCAGCACCTTCACAGTGGTGGAAACCTTCTGGGATTCCTGGCCAGAAAGAGTCTGGGCAGAAGCATGAAAGGCATTGGCGCTGTCTCCTGCCAAGAATGGGACAAAGCAATAAAAATGACCTAAAAACATCCCATGGGAAGGTGGTTGGGCTTTCATCCCAGTTGCTTTTCTACCACAGAGCCCAGAGGGAGCCCACAACCACACACCAACGTTGGAGATCACTGGGTGCCTTCTGGTCCAGGGGTGTACAGATCTCATTCCACACTCTGGGCACAACATTTGTCTCCTTGTTAGGCTCACTTGACCATCCATGTGGATGACCTTGTCATGTGCAGGGGCCTGAGTTTAACCCACAACAATCGTGGTAAGAAATGCAACCCCCATCTCTCACAGGCTGCTGCTGCCCACTCAGGCCAGGAGCCACGTTAAGGACCTCTCCCCCCAGCAGGCTTTTAAAAGATACATGCATTAGCAGGGACAGCTATTTTTATCACAGCTTAATTCTTCTCTAAACACTGCCAGCAAGGCTGTTCCATCTCAAGGCAAAAAATGCTTTCCAACCAAATGCAGGACAGCTTGGGAACCCACTTTGTTGGGCACCCAACCTGCAACACATCCAAGCCCCCCCGCTGCCAAGAGACAACAACATGGGCCTGGTGTCATCCAGAGGTGCAGGATCCACAGCACAGCTCAGACCCAGGAGTTCTAGGAGCAAAAAGTACAGCTCAGCCACCCCAAACTGACAACAACTGAAGCTGGTCCCCATCCCCAGGGCAAAGAGGGACCAGCAAATGGTCTGAAGCCACCACAGATGCGAGGAAGATGAAGTGAGCTGCCTCTGCACAGACCTCTGCAAACAGACCAAGCAACAGCTTCCTCCAAGGCAGGATAATTTTATTATGAAAATACTTGTTACAACAAACTTTGTCAATTATAAAACATCCAGAGGAATGGTGCACGTTGCACAGCCCGGAGGGTCTGGAAGCTTCAGCAAACAAAAAACACATGTTAGCCTCTCAGGTGGACATTTCTCCCAACACAGAGCAGCCAACAGGTCCTGAGCACACAGCACTTCCAGGAGAGTCATTCTGTACACGCTGGCTGTGACCATGGGGGAAAATATTGAGCAGATGTTTTCCAGACCCTGTCGTTCCATGTAACAGTGACATCAGTTTTCTGCAGAAAGGAGCACCCTGACAAAAAGCAGGGCCCCTAGGGGATGCTATAGGCTGTGTGAGGATCTATTAACCAAGAAAGTGAGAGGAGAGTTTCCTGGATGTTTCTCTTGCACTTGGCCCTTTTGCTCACATCTTCCCTGCCCCTGCCAAGTTCAAAGCAAACTGGATGTCTGTCCCACTCAACCCTCTGTAGTCCTAAAAAGTGGTCTGTGAAACAAGCTTCATCCACCAGCCACAGCCTCACAGAGGGAAGCACTGCTCCTCAGATCTGCCCCTTTCCTCCAGGACTCATGGGCTCCTGGCAAAATGCTGGTCAGCAGCAAGGCTCCTCTACCTGACAGTGATGGGATCAGTGTTGCTGGTAGAGCCCATGCCCAGATGGAGCAAATCAGTCCGAGTCACTTCCATCCTGCTTTGCTGACCCAACAGCTGCTGCCAACTCCTCCTCCTGCCCTTTCAATCGCTCTCCTGCAAGTGAGAAACAGCAGTTACTTAGCAATTCGCCCTCTGTACTGGTAGAAAAGCTGAACTGAAGCCATTATGCCTGCAAAGCATTCTTCCTTATCATGCAAACCTTCTCCCCTGGGAAGGGAATGAAGCTTCGCTACCCCTCCCTGCCCAACAGTAAGGCTCTGAGCTCCCAACAAGGACTGTTGGTGTGTCATCCCTCCAGGACAATTGGTGACCCCATACTCCATCCCCATGGTATCACCACGCACGGATCAGTTCAGCAATGGCTCTCTGAGTCCTCTTTTCCAGCTTCTCCATTTTCTTGGCTACGTCTCGTTTTAAATCCCTAGGAAGGAAAATGATGACATCAGCACACATCCGTGACCAGTTGTGAACACGGCCACGTTGCTCCCCTCCTAGCAGGAAAGAAACTCCTTTGCTCTCCTATGAACATCATGGAACAGAGCAAAACAACGCAGCTCGTGGGCAAACCAACATGATGATTCTGGCACTGAAGCCACCTTGCTGATAAGTACCTCAAAGGGACTGGCAGAACCACATGATATAAACAAAGAAAGGAGAGGACAGTCCCATGCCACGTGTTTCCCAACAGGTTTCCCATTTCTTGCACTTCTAGCCCAATTTGGACAACTTCCACGGAATGGCAACACGCAGGTGATGCAAACACTCCTTTCCCAGGAGCAAAGCTCAGCAGACACTCACCAGTCTGGCTTCCTGGGGGCCAGGTTTGTCAGATCCTAGGGACGAAGAGGAGACATGCAGTGAGAGCTGGAAGCAACAGAGATGTGTGTCCAGCACAGAGCAGCTCTCCATACGTACCACTTCGTCAATGATGGTCTCTGGCTTAGCTGCCTCCAGCTGGTCCTTCACCTTGTCTTCCACTAGATGGAGAAACAGGATCAGCATCAGCACAGCGGGACACCAAGGGGACAAGGCATGGGGAGACCCACCAGAGCCCTTGGAAAAGCTTTTACAAAAGCCCAGCTTGAACAGCATCACTTTTAACAATACAGTACCTACATGTGAATCCACGTGGGCACACACATTCCTTCACCACCCAAACTCTGGAGACTTATAAAAACTACCTGAAAACAACGTAAAACTAAAAATTAAACATAATAAACAGCAGCAGGAAGTCTATTGGGTTCAAATCCCATGTTAGCAAGGGCTGCATCCACCATCCATTCTGCATGTCCATAGGACTTTAAGTTGC